CGCCAGGCCAGGTTCGAACCTGCCAGCCTCGGTGCATACAGGCACTGTAACCACTGTGCTACGGGTGCTGAGTCTATTTATTTATTTATTTATTTTAGAGACAGTCTCACTTTATTACCTTCAGTAGAGTGCTGTAGCATCACAGCTCACAGCAACCTCCAACTCTTGGGCTTACGCGATTCTCTTGCCTCAGCCTCCCGAGTAGCTGGGACTACAGGCACCCACCAAAACACTTGGCTATTTTTGGTTGCAGTTTGGCCGGGGCTGAGTTCAAACCTGCCACCTCCAGCATATGGGGCCGCCGCCCCTATTTATTTTTTTGAGATAGAGTTTCACTTTGACACCCTTGGTAGAGTGCACTGGTGTCGTAGCTCATAGCAACCTCAAACTCTTGGACTCAAGTGATTCTCTTGCCTCAGCCGCTGCAGTAACTGGGACTACAGGCAACTGTCATAATGCCTGGCTATTTTTAGAGACTATCTTGCTCAGGTTGGTCAAACTCCTGAGCTGGAGCAATCCACCACTCCTGAGGTGTGAGCCACCAGAGCCCAACCAAAGTGTGCACATTCTTTTTTTTTTTTTTGGAGACAGAGCCTCAAGCTACCCCCCTGGGTAGAGTGCTGTGTTATCACAGCTCACAGCAACCTCCAACTCCTGAGCTCAAGCGAGTCTCCTTCCTCCGCCTCCCAAGTAGCTGGGACCACAGGCCCCCGCCACAGCGCCAGGCTATTTTTGGTTGCAGCCATCATTGTTGTTTGGCAGGCCCAGGCCAGATTTGAACCCGCCAGCTCAGGTGTATGTGGCTGGCACCTTAGCTGCTTAAGCCACAGGTGCTGAGCCCCTTGGCTTTTTTTTTTTTTTTTGAGACAGAGTCTCAAGGTATCATCCTGGGTAGAGTGCTGTGGAGTCACAGCCCACAGCAATCTCAAACTCTTGGGTTTAAGCTATTCTCTTGCCTTAGCCTCCCAGTAGCTGAGACTACAGGCGCCTTGCCACAATGCCTGGCTATTTATTTTTGTTGTTGTTATTGTTGTTGCAGTTGTCATTGTCGCTTAGCTGGCGCCAGGCCAGGTTCGAACCTGCCAGCCTCGGTGCATACAGGCACTGTAACCACTGTGCTACGGGTGCTGAGTCTATTTATTTATTTATTTATTT